CCAATGGATTTTTGAGGGGCATCCGTAGTTGAACAGTATAAGGTAGCATCCTCATATAAACTTTTTTCATATGCTAATCATCCCATGTCAACAAAGGACAATTGACGGATTAGGAGGTGTTAGTATTATGTTTGAAACCATATGCCATAAATAATTTTGGGATATTGGATATTGGGCCAAATGGGTCAATTTCAGAAGGACAGAGGGCCAAATGGTTATCAAAATCGGACCAAACCGATGGTCAAACTAGTCAGAATGTTGATGGGTGCTTTTGCCCATTTGATCCTAGGTAAAATGAGATTTGATAAAAAATTATTCGAAATTATTATTAGACCGGTTTTGGCCAGTCAGATCAAATGTTTTAAAAGGTCATTGGAGTTCGGCATATTTTTTTAAGTATTTTATATTTTTAAAATATTATTTTTATTTTTCTTTCATTTTTCTAAAATTCAGTCTAACCAACTGGTGCAGTAGTTCAATTGGCTTTAATAGGACCAAACCTTGTATGGATTCAATGGACAGTCTGATCTTGGGAACACCCCTTCGAAGTAGGTCCTAGTTAGTGCCGAGAATGGGTAAGGTTGGATTCGGATCTATTGAGATTCGGATTCAGATCTGAAAAGTATACATGGGATTTAGATTCAGATTCAAACCCAATCGGATGTAGATTATTTGGATTTGGATCCGAATCCAAAAAGTATATATGGGATCTTGATTGGGTTCCAAACCCAATTGGATCCCAAAAACTTTTTATATCTATAAAATAATATATAACAAAAAAGTACTCTTTAAGAAAAAAAAAAAATTTACAATAATAATAATAATCTAATAACTAGGCCAAATCGAGATCTCTACTCAGATCCAATCTGAAATACTATTTGAATCCAAAATTTGGATGTGGATAACACCCATAGGATCCAATCTTAGATCCATATCCAAATCCAGATAGAATCTAAAATTCCTTTTCGAATCCAAACCGGATAAAGTAAGTTGGAGAGGGGCGGTCACTAATCAAGTGGGTGTCATGGGAAAAGTTGGGAGGGGAGGGGAGGGGAGAGGAGAGCGGGGAAATTAAACAAAAGTGAGATAAGGCGACTTGTGAAATGTATTAAGTTAGGAGGCGGAATTTATTTATTACGCCATCAATCTCAAACATTGCCATACCATCCATTCAATATCCCAAAGGCTCCTCAATACTTCTTTCTCTCAATAAAACTATAAACAACCACAAGAACCCACCGTGTTGCTTGATCCTAGAGAGAGAAAGAGGGAGACCCACTTCTCTTGTTCCTAGAGAGAGAAAGACCCACTACTCTTCATCCTAGAGAGAGAAAGAGGGAGACCCACTTTTCTTGTTCCTAGATAGAGAAAGACCCCACTTCTCTTGATCCTAGAGAGAGAAAGAGGGACACCCACTTCTCTTGATCCTAGAGAGAGAAAGAGGGACACCCACTTCTCTTGTTCCTAGAGAGAGAAAGGGAGACCCGCTTCTCTTGCTCCTAGAGAGAAAGAGAAAGTCACTTCTCTTGTTCCCACAACTGCAACCATCCACCTTCATGTAACGATTCATAGGAACAAAGAGCCTCTATTCTCTCTCTCTAACCAAATCCCAAATACTTAGATGGATAAAGACGAAGCAAGCTACTCGGTAAGCAAGAATCTCTCTCTCTCTCTCTTAGAAATGATCACTGAATTCTATCTCTCTCTGAAATTTTGTTTGAACAGGTGATGATGCAAGGAAATTATTCCGGCATCGATAACTCTGGTGCAATTCCAGAGTACTCCATGAATGGTGGTTTGTGCACCTGGGCTTCTCTTGAGAGATTGGGCTTTGGGGAGCATGCAGGCGTCGACAGTGAGATGGGTATAGAATTCCTTAAATTTCCGGTGCTAAGCGAGAGATTCGAGCACGAAGGTGTGATGAATTCTTCGAAAACGATTGAAGAGGAAGAGATAGAAGAAGAAGAGAGAGAAACTGGAAGTCATGGTGCAATTAACAGCAGCAAGAATAGCAGAAATGAGAGTGTTGGTGTGGCTAACAGTGGGGGTGGAGAGATGGAGCAAGGGAAAGGGAGAAGGAAGAGAGGGAGGTCGATGAAGACGAGCGAGGAGGTGGAGAACCAGAGGATGACACACATAGCGGTGGAGAGGAACAGGAGGAAGCAAATGAATGAGCACCTCAGGGTCCTCAGATCTCTCATGCCAGCCTCCTACGTGCAGAGGGTAAGTCGGTTAGAGAGAGAAACTATTATATCTCTCTCGTTTTTGAGAGAGACTATCTCAAAATTATGAGAGAAAAAAACTCTCAAAATTATGAGAGAAAAAACCTATCTTAAATTTAAGTTTTAGAGGGAGAATATCTTCAAGTTTTAGAGAGAGAAACTGTATAAAATTTTAAAGAGAGAAGAAAGCAATTGAAAATTTTAGAGAGAGAAACTATTTCAAAATTTTTAAAGAAATAATTTCAAATTTTAAGTTTTAGAGAGGAAGTGTATTAGAATTTTTTTAGATAGAGAAACTATCTTAAAATTTGTAGAGAGAGGTTATCTCAAATTTTGAGTTTTAGAGAGAGAAACTATATTAAAATTTTAGAGAGAGAAACTGTATCAAATTTTGTTACCAAACAATGGACATGGATATCATTACAAGGAACCCATAAATTTTGTATAGTTTATCCAAACTAGAGATTTAAGGAATCCATGACAAGAATCCTTGATACTAAAAATCCATAAAATAAATTTTTTTGGATTTCAAACATCCAAAAATCTTACTTTCCTCCTATCCAAACGGATTTCTCAGTCATAAAAGAATACCATGAATGGAGATTCATGGTGAACGGTGGATATGGTGTTTGATATGCAGGGTGATCAGGCTTCAATTATAGGAGGAGCCATAGAATTTGTTAGAGAGCTTGAACAACTACTCCAATGCTTAGAGTCTCAAAAGAGGAGGAGGATTCTTGGTGGTGCAGAAGGGCAAGGAGGAGGATTGGTGGTCATGGGAGGAGTGGAAGGGCAACAACAACAAATGGCTGTGGAGGAGGAGGGAGCGGAGCGGCGATCATGCGTGGCCGACATCGAGGTGAGGGTTGCCGGGGGCGATGCCATGATAAAGGTGCTTTCGAGGAGGAGGCCGGGCCAGTTGTTGAGGACCATTGCAGCCCTTGAAGAGATGCCTCTTTCCATACTCCACACCAACATCACCACCATAGACCACACGGTGCTCTACTCCTTTAATGTCAAGGTGTGTGATTCTTTTGCTTACCATCTCCACCCTCTGCAAAAGGACAAAAACACCACAATTTTTTTATACTCATTAACAGTATGCAGAAGCCAACTTCATGCACTACATGCACGCACGTTATAAAAACTATCGTCTTAAAATGTATACAAAATTTATATATAGGCTTTAAGACCTACTCCATCACCACAACCATAGCCACCACCATTATCCTAAGGCTTGTTTTGTTTGTTTTTCTATCTATCTATATACTATATATATATATATATATATATATATATATATATATATTAGGATAGTTTGTGAATCTATCTTCATCTCTAATTATAAAATTTTAATCTCCAAAAATAATTCAAATCAAGTAGATCTATAAATATTTGAAAATATTGAACATAGATAGTCCGGATAATGTATTGGAAGATACACTACTTTTAGGACTTGAATCCTTTTTCCTTTTCATATTCATATATTTCGATGTCGAGATGATTAATTAGAAGGTTTTCAAACGTAAAAATGTTTTTGATAGAGTTTTTAGGCGCACCTTAATTCTACATTTTAAGGTTGCAACCTGAATCCTTCATTGTTTTCCTTTTTTCCCTTATATCTACTTTCTCTCTCTCTCAACTCCTCCTTTCGCTTGTTTTTATCTCTCCTTCTATATATCCCACCTAATGCTCTCTCTCTCAATCGTCTCTCTCTATCTCTCTCTTCACATCTAACAATTCTCTCGTGGATCTCTCTCTTCCCTTTTTTGCATCACTTTTTTTTTAGATTTTTCTTTTATTTATCTAATATCTTTAATTTTCTCCTCTAATCCTCTATCTCGCTTAGATCCCCTTTCCATCTCTCATATCTCTCTCTCCCCTTTATCTCTCGCTCAGATCGTTATCTACCTTTGAAATATCTCTCTATCTCCCTATCCCCTCTCTCTCTCTCCCTCCTTTGCCCTATTGTTCCACCTCCAAAGCCCCTTTCCTCCCTTTTCTATATCTTTTATCTCATTCTCTCTGACCTCTATTGTCTTCTCTATTTCCTATAGTGCCCATGTCCTTCTCTCTCTATTATCTATTTTGTTCTCTCTTTTATTTTCTTAGCTCTCATTTTCTGTTTTCCCTCTCTTTCTTTCACAATTTTTTACTAGCTATTCCTTCTCTTTCTTGATTCCAAGAAAAAGGCATAATCTCCCCCCTCCCACACACACACCTTCCATCCCTTTTCCTGTATGTCTCCTTCCATCCATCTACACCATTTGTTGATGACCTCTTATTGGCTTTTGACCATTTTTCTCTTCCCTCGTCTCCCCTCCCTAAAGTAAGTTAACATCTAAGATTAGATTCTCTCATCTATTTGGGATTCAATAACCTTTCATAGGGTTTTTTCGAGCATTGCGGTTTGCTTCGAGGGCTTCGATGACCCTTGTATCTGGTTACTTAGATTAATGCCTAAGATGGGGTATGGCCCTTCAATGGGCCTTAGTGAGCCCTATTGTGGTTTTTTTTGTTCCCTTTCAAGGGACTGGAATTCTTTTGTGTAGCCAAATACTGTTTCTTTTGGGAGTTGTCAAAATTAGCTTCCTACAACTCCTCTTTCTTTGTTTCCTCTTTTATTCACTTTAGCCATTTTACTTGACGGTCCCTCACTTTTCTTCTTTCTCTCCCACTTCTCATTTAATCAATCTTTTAGATCCTAGTTTTAGCTACTGGTTATGATCCGCCACCCTACTGTACTTTGCCATGCTTTTTTCATTATTTATTTGGCGCCGTTTCAATATAGGTTGTGCGCTACCCTAATCATAGCCATTTATGGGGGCGTTTTTTTGGGAAGTTTGGAGTGGGCAGTAGAGGTTTTGTGGTGGCGTAAGATCTTTCGAGGTTAGGGTTTATGTTGTGTTTAAAAATCGAAGCGGGTCATTTTTGAAAATAGGGAGTATTGTTTATATTCTTGTAGTTCTTCATCTCTTTGCTTACTATTGTATTTATGAAGCTTTGTTCCTTTATGTAATCAGAATTAATAGTTATTATGAAGAAAAACAAAAACTATCCTCTTGATATAAATTTGGTATGATCTTTTCATTTTTTTGAGTGAACATAAATTTGGTATTACTTACTACTTGGATAAGGGGTTAGGACCCAAATCTCCATAATCGTTTGTCATTTTGGACGTAAATCTAAAAAAGTTTGCCATGATTGGTTGGTGAACTTTTGAGTGGAAAATGGAAATTTTGGTGCTCCCTTGGCCCTAGCAGCCATGATGATTTGCATATACTTGAACCAATTCATCAAAACCTACCGAAATTTTGGCCATAACAACCCGCCTCTTTCAACAAATTGTCGTTTTTATTATTTATTTATTTGCCTTGTTGGTTTGTCTCCTTAGTTGTTATACAGGTTAGTGGGTCCATGTCGTTTTTAAACTTTTCTATTTAGTAAATACTGACACTTTCATTTTGTCTGCATTTTGAGTGCTCCTCTCTATTTAAAGGACGCGGTTTCTATGGGGGACCAGCCTGCATATTGTAGAAATGCGGGCTTGGAAATAAATCTATATATTTTAAAGACCCGGTTTCTATTTAGTCAAGCCGGCATATGTAGAAATGTGGGCCTCTTAATAAATTTATTTTTGACATGGATTTTAAGACTTAATTTTAAAGATATAGAATCTCTAACATAGAGATCATGAATATGAAAAATAAAAATAAAAAAATAAAAAATTAGAAATAATAATTCTAGTAAGAAAACATTTGGACCGTTAGTTTCCATTGTTTTTAGATAGAACACCTACTTGCATCCATAAGATGGATGCTTTACGTTTTCTAGACAAGAAATGTGGTCCAACCCGCATGAAACAATTTTTCATATTTTAAGAATAATTTGATACTAAATTTTAGTGAATATATAGTCTTTAACATGGAGATCATAAATATGATTTTTTCGAAAAAAAAAGCTAAAAATAATAAGTACATTAAAAAAACATTTGGCTTGTTCCTTATATAAATGTGCATATTGGATTTTAACCTTATCTTCATTTGGGTTTTCTTCTGTGGCATGGATGAATTTAGATGTCTATTCTTTGAAGTAAGTGGGAGAGTATAGATGAATTAAGATCTATGCCTATTTCATTTTGATGGGATTAACAATCTTTTTATCCTATTTTTCCAAACAGATTATTGGGGATTCCAGATTTACTGCAGAAGACATTGCCAGCTCCGTACAGCAGATTTTCAATTTCATTCATGCCAACACCATTTAACAAAATGAAAATGCTCTACCTCTCTCTCTCTCTCTAAAACCCCTCCCCATCTCCTCTCTCTCTCTCTCTCTCTTCTTTCTCTATAATCATAGAGAGATGGTTTATTGTCTTGGGAGCGGCGAGTGTAAATGGGTTGGATTTGTACGAGACAAGTTCAGGAGTGGGGGACATGAGTTTATACACCATGGATTTTGCAAATGTCAACTCCCATCACTAATGCCATTGACTTGTCAGTCTCTCTTTGTTGCTATTAGGCTATGCCACTCCAAATTTTAGCACGCCCAAGGGGACCCAACCCAACCCAATCTCTCTCTCTCTCTCTCTCTCATAATCTACAACTTCTCATTTTCTCTCTCTTGTCCCTCTCTCTCTTTTAATCTACTTCTCATTTTCTCTCTCTTAATCTACTTCTCATTTTCAGTTTCTTGTCCCTCTCTCTCTCTCTTAATCTACTTCTCATTCTCTCTCTACAACTTCTCATCTCTCTCTCTCTCATAATCTACAACTTCTCATTTTCTCTCTCTTAATCTACTTCTCATTCTCTCTCTACAACTTCTCATCTCTCTCTCATAATCTACTTCTCATTCTCTCTCTACAACTTCTCATCTCTCTCTCTCATAATCTACAACTTCTCATTTTCCCTCTCTTGTTCCTCTGTCTCTCTCTCTTAATCTACAATTTCTCATCTCTCTCTCAACCTCCACTTTCTCATTATCTCTTCAGCTTGCCTCTTATCCCACAACAGAATTTGGGGCTCTAAAAGCTTGGCTTCATATGTTTTACGACTGTTTGTGTATGTGTACCTACTTTGACCAAATACTCTCCCCCTTGTTTGGCCATGGAGGCCCATTCATGCTCTCAAGTCTCAACCAGTTGATGCTTGCAATTGTATTCTGATGTCTTTAGTGCTTTCTCTTGTCTTCATTGAGCTTGACTTTAGTACTATTGCTCCATGCCTCTGTTTTTATGTTTGTGTTTATGCATGTGCGCATGTGGAAATGGTACTCTCATTGTGGCGCTAATGAAAGGTATTGCATTGGCACTTGTGTGACGAGATCTTTCATTCAGGCTAAGAAACAAAAGCCATTTAATGCAGAATTGAAAAAGGTCAACTATAGCTACTCTTGCAAGTCCTTACTTGGGAATTATTCATCGTCCATTTGCTATTTTTACTACCAGGCTAATATGGTCATGGATATGGACTTGGGAATTATTCATGGTCCATTTGCCATTTTCATTACCAAGCTAATATGGTCGTTGATGTACTTAAAAGACTGCAATTTTTTAGGAGGCCACCATTTGACGCTCTAAGCCTATTGAACTTTTTTACCTTCCTTTACTTCATGATGTGGTGCGATTAACTTATTGTAAGGTTGTAAAATAATGTGATGTCATTTTTTCTATTTTTTATTAATAAAAAGAGTAATGATCCTATCAGACCCTCCCACACCCATATGTGTAAGATCCCAAATGATCATCATTAAATTTGGCATAGATCTCTAGAAAAATTATCACATGGGTATGAGACTTGACTTTTCTAGATATCTGTGCTAAATTTAATGGTGATCCTTTGAGGTCTTACACATATAGATGTGGAAGGGTCTTATAGGATCATTATTTTTTTTATTGGTCCATCATAAAAGGCAAGTTTAGATGAGTTTTAAACATTGAAAAGGTAGTGTAATTCTTGTTTAATGGTCCATCCAAACTTGCCTTTATGACAATGCGCATGTTGAGGTATATTTAAACAAAAGTGACATCAATGGCACTACCTTTCCTCCTGAGGTTTCTCAATGTATGCATATATTATTTTGGTAATTTTAATACATTGATTAACATTATCAAGAAAATTAAATGTACAAAGAAAATATTAAAAGATGAAGACAGTTCAGGAAAGTAAAAGTACTACTTGTATGGTTTACAGCAAAGTCTTGCTACATGGATAAAGCAATAACATTGAAACTTTCGGCTATTGCTTAAAATTCAAATACAAGGTGATATATTTATATATATATATATATAGAGAAGGAGCTATCAAAAGGTGGCGTCGATATTTACTAGTAATATAGGTGGAATCTCAGTAATTAGATCTTGAACGAATGGCTGAAAATGTATATTATTTAGGTTATTTTAAATTCTTGAAAATATTTGTTTTCAATTTTTATAAGGTGGCGATGGTGTTAAGTTACTACACCCAAATTTTCATTTTGATTTGATTTGTAAAAAAATTAAAATTCAAATGATGACATGCATTTTCAATCACTCGATCAAGATCTGGGGACTAGGATTCCACCTATATTAGTATTTATTATAGATGTCACCTTTTGGTAGCTTTATATATATATATATATATATATGAAAGATACCACAAAATGCTTATAAGCAAAAATAAACAGTGATTTTGCTTATCTCATCACCGTCCAAAGTTCATTATACGGTCACGATTGTCCGGTATTGTTTTATTTTTTATTTTTTTTTACAAATCTAAATAATTTGAAATTTGGAGCGTATGTTAATAAAAAATAAGCGAATCTACGAAAAATATCAAAAATATATTTTACATGAAATAAATTGACCAAAATACAAAATACCTTCAAAATGTTTTAGGGGTATTTTGGTCAATTGTTTTTTGAAAATTATTTTGTTATATATTTATTAGGTGCGCCTCATGAAGATTTACACATGCTCCAAATTTCAGATCATTCCGATTTATAAAAAATAAATAAAAAATAAAACACTACAGGATAATCGTGACCGTGCGATGAACTTTGGACGGTGATGACGGTAGGCAAAATTACTGTTCATTTTTGCTTGTAGGCATTGGGAAGACTTTTCCATATATATGAAAGATACTACAAAATTCTTATAGGCGAAAATGAACAATGATTTAGCCTACCCTCATCACCGTCCAAAGTTCATTGCACGGTCATGATTGTATAGTAGTGTTTCAATTTTCAATTTTTTTTACAAATAAAAAATATCTGAAATTTGGAAGGTATATTAATTAAAAATAGGTGAATCCACAAAAAATATCAAAAAAAATAGTTTACATGAAATAAATTAATCAAAATACCCCAAAAACATTTCAGGGGTATTTTGGTTATTTTTTTGTGAATTACTTTTTTTTATATTTTTATTAAATGCATCTCATTAATATGTATACACGTTCCACATTTTAGATCATTTCCATTTGTAGAAAAAGAATGAAAAATGAAAACTACAGGACAATCGTGACCGTACGATGAACTTTGGACGGTGATGGGGGTAGGCAAAATAACTATTCATTTTCACCTATAGGCATTGGGAAAACTTTTCCATATATATGGAAGATACTACAAAATACCTATAGACGAAAATGAACAGTGATTTCACCTAAACTCATCACCGTCCAAGGTTCATCGCACGGTCACGATTGTCCGGTAGTGTTTCATTTTTTATTTTTTTTGTACAAATCAAAATAATCTAAAAATTGGAATGTATGTTCATAAAAATAGGAGAATCTACAAAAAATATTAAAAAAATATTTTACATGAAATAAATTGATCAAAATACCCTAAAAAAGTTTTAGTGGTGTTTTGGTCAAAACAATTCAGCGAATTATTATTTTTTATATTTTAATTAGGTGCACCTCACTAAGATGTACACACATTTTGAATTTCAGATCATTTCGATTTGTAAAAAAAACAATGAAAAATGAAACACTACCAGACAATCGTGACCGTGCGATGACCTTTGGACGGTGATTAGGGTAGGCGAAATCACTGTTCATTTTTGCCTATAGGCATTAGAAAAATATTTCCATAGAAGATATTGGAAAATGCCTATAGGTGAAAATGAACAGTGATTTCACCTACCCTCATCACCGTCCAAAGTTCATCACACGGTCATGATTGTCTGGTAGTATTTCATTTTTCATTTTGTTTTTACAAATTGGAATGATCTAAAATTTGGAGTGTACGTTTATAAAAAATAGGCAAATCTACGAAAAATATAAAAAAAACAGTTTACATGAAATAAATTGATCAAAATACCCCCAAAATATTTCAGGGGTATTTTAGTCAATTTGTTTTACGAATTATTTTGTTTATATTTTTATTAGGTACCCATCACTAAGATATATACACGATTGAAATTTTATATTATTTCAATTTGTGAAAAAAATATGAAAAATAAAATACTACTAGACAATCGTGACCGTGCGAACTTTGGACGGTGATGACGGTAGGTAAAATCACTGTTCATTTTCGCCTATAAGCGTTGGGAAGAATTTTCCATATATATATATGGAAGATACTACAAAATTCCTATAGGTGAAAATGAACAGTGATTTCGCCTACCCTCATCACTGCCTCATCACCGTCAAAAGTTCATCGTCGGTCACAATTGTCTAGTAGTGTTTTAGTTTTCATTTTTTTTTTTACATATTGGAATGATCTGAAATTTGGAATGTATGTTCATAAAATATAGATAAATCTACGAAAAATATCAAAAAAATTTTTTTTACATAAAATAAATTCATCAAAATACGCCCGAAACTTTTTAGGGGTATTTTGGTCAAATTATTTTTCACGAATTATTATTTTTATATTTTTATTAGGGGTGCCTCACTAAGATGTATAAACGCTCCAAATTTTAGAATATTCTGATTTGTTAAAAAATAAAACACTACCGGACAATTGTGACCGTGCTATGAACTTTGGACGGTGATGAGAGTAGGCAAAATAACTGTTCATTTTCACCTATAGGAATTGGGAAGAATTTTTCATATATATATATATATATATATATATATTTGGAAAAATCTTAGGTTAACCCACTAGCTCATATGAACATATGAGCCCAACGGCCCAGATTGAATCTGGGCCAATTTGACAATCACAGAAGTCCGGTAATATTTGAATTTTAATTATTTTTTTACAAATCTAAATCATTTGAAATTTTAGGCGTGTGTTCATAAAAAAATAGAATAATCTTAAAAAAATATCAAAAACATATTTTACCTAAACAAAATTAATCAAAATACCCCCGAAATACTTTGGGTG